ATACTCTCCATTTCCTTCAGCAAAAACCACACAATTCTTCTCCTTCCCCAGTAGGTGAAAGACAAAGGAAAGGAAATCAAGAAGAGATTTTGAGCTGGAAATAGTAGAGTAAGCGGCACTCAAACATACATCACACAAAAAGGTGAAAGGAGCTCATTTTTCCATTTCAGAAAAAAAAGGGAAAAATCTGGAAGTCAGTGAGAAGGAAAAGGTCAATTGGATAGTCACATAGGGCAGACAGTAATGCAGGCCTTGCCCTTAGGGGAAGAAAAGTGCTTAAATCAAAACACCATAAAACAGGGACTCACACACATTTTTGATCTTCTTAAGAATATCTGTGCTAGAAGTGCTCCGTAGATGTATCTATTGTGAGAAAAGCAGATTTCAAATCACAAGTGATTATGCAGGGAGAATCCACTCTGGAGAACAGCCATACTAATTACTTGTCAGACCTGCTCCTTTTTGGTTCATGCTAAATGCTTTAGCAAAAATGGCAACTTGGTGATGCACCAGAGGACTCACCAGGGAGAAGCCATATGACTGTCCTGATTGTGGGAAATGTTTCATTGGAAATTCTGACCTTGAGTTGGAAAAGTTTCAGTCAGTACTGATACACCAGAAGATGCACACAGGAGAGAAACCCTTTGAATGTCCTGTTTGTGGGAAACGTTTCATTACAAATGCTCACCTAGTGATACATCAGAGGACTCACACAGGAGAGAAACCCTTTGACTGTCCTGATTGTGGGAAAAGTTTCAGTCACAATTCCAACCTAGTAAGACACCAGAGAACTCACACAGGAGAGAAACCCTTTCAATGTTCTGATTGTGGAAAAAGTTTCAGTCACAATTCCAACCTGTTACGACACCAGAGAACTCACACAGGAGAGAAACCCTTTGAATGTTCTGATTGTGGGAAATGTTTTAGTCAGAATTCGGATCTGGTAAGCCATCAGAGGACTCATACGGGAGAGAAACCATTTGAATGTCCTGATTGTGGGAAAAGTTTCAGTCAGAATTCCCACCTGGTGATACATCAGAGGACTCACACAGGAGAGAAGCCCTTTGAATGTCCTGATTGTGGGAAAAGATTCAGTCAGAATTCTAACCTGGTAATACACCAAGCAACACATACCGGAGAGAAACTGTATCAATGTCCAGAGTGTGGGAAAAGTTTCAGCTATCGTTCTAACCTGATGAAACATCTGAGGACTCACACAGGGGAGAAACCGTATGAGTGTCTAGAGTGTGAGAAAACATTCAGTTCCCATTCTAATCTTGGAAAACACCGGAGGACTCACACAGGAGAGAAACCATACGTGTGTCCAGAGTGTGGGAAAAGTTTCAGTTACCCTTCTGTGCTTGTGAAACACCAGCGGACCCACACAGGGGAGAAGCCCTACAAGTGCTCCAAATGTGATAAATGCTTTAGTGAAAATGGCAACTTGGTGATACACCAGAGGACCCACACGGGAGAGAAGCCGTATGAGTGTCCGGATTGTGGTAAAAGTTTCAGTTACCATTCTGACCTGGTGAAACATCAGAGGACTCACACAGGGGAGAAGCCATATGAGTGTCCGGAATGTGGGAAGGATTTTAGCACTAGCTCTAACCTTATAAATCATGTAGTTTTACACACAGGGGAGAAGCCTTTCATATGTCCAGTCTGTGGACAATACTTCCGGCGTAAATCATCTCTTATTGCACACAAGGAAATCCACGTGAGGCAAAAGTTGATGAGTTTAGAGAAGGCCTAAATGTAGTTTGTTATCTCCCACTGAAAGTGAAAGTTTGCTGTTTGAATTCTGCCTGATTCTTTTTACACAAACATCTCTCAGAATTACACTTGCAGATGTGGAGAAGAAAATGGAAAATGTTAGTTAGCCTCAAAAAAGGCTTTTGGGTGATGTTTTTTGTATATTGATTATGGAATTCTTACAGGCAGAGTTTCAGCCTTCTTATCTTGGTGAACTCCATATTTTGAGAGCCAGTATTACTCCAGCCAGCATACAAGTAGCTCTCAAGATATAACTAATTATGTTGCATGTTGCAATGGCCCTTAAGCAAGACTGCTTTCCTGAAGTACCCCCCAGCCCTCTGTTCTCCCTCAAGTAGTCATTAAATAAATTTGTGAGTCGTTAAGCAGAACAGTGGTTACCTCAGGGTTCGGGACATAGCACAAGTACAGGCTTACCTTCCAAACGCCTCCTCTACTCCAACCCCTTCCCACAGGGTCCCCACAGGCTTTTTCACTCCCACCGGGTCCCTGCAGTCCTTACGCCTGACTCCCACACCACTAGGCCTCACACCCTTCTCCTCCTCATCTTTTGAAGATCTCTGAACCTCATGCTAGGGAAAGAAGTACTTAGGATTGCAACCATTATTTTCATTGTACCCAGGATTCAACCCTGGTCCATATGATGGGCTTGTAGAAGCAGTTTCAATTTTGTCACACCTGCCTCAGGGCCAAAATGGTGGCTGCTTCTCGGTCCCTGTCACACGAGAGAGTGAGTAGCTGCTCTGTTTCACTTCCTTAAAACTATGGAAAACTGCATTAAGGGATTGTGGGTGCACTAAAAATGATGTCTGCCTCCAGGAAGTCTCCAAAGGATGGGTGAGCAACGTGTTGG